ATAAACATAGGAGTTTTTCTGAAACTGCTATGTTTATAAAAAAAAAAAAAAAAAAAAAAAGGGGTTAACCCTAGCTGGACCTTGCACCCAGACCACTTCATTAAGCTGAAGTGGTCTGGGTGCCTAAAGTGGTCCTTTAAGTAAAAATCTTTGAAAGACTGTTGATCAGGGAAATTGCTGCCTCTTGTGTTTAGCTACACATAATACTATGTATTTTATGTATATGTATATTACTGTGTCTTTAGAGAACAGCAAACTGCACTAGAGCAAAAAAAAAGAGAAAAATGGTGGTGGGTGGGGGGGGGGGAGGAATCATGGAAAAAGAAAATAGAACTTCTCTAAATTATCTCTGTTTTGCTTGTGTTCAAAATGAGAAGTGATCAAGTGGCTTTACTGGACCGGTACTTGAAGAATGTGTTGTATAAACTGATATATTGTTAGAAAAAAGTAAATACAAAATATTATAGATCTTTTACAATATAGCAAGATTTGTTAAGGGAACTATTCAATTATCTTTATGAGAAAAATGTTCATGCCAAATATGAGTCACATTAGATATTTAAACACTATTTTGATAAATAAGCATTCTTATGTTAAAATTTGTTGTAAGTAAGATAAAAAAAAAACATGATTTATGAAGATGATCTTATAAATAGATTGAGACTGCAAAGTAACCAAGGTTATAAGAAAAAGAGAACACCAGATGTTATATTTTTGTAAATCCTTTTAAGGTTGTTGTGAAACTGTCAAGAAGCTAAAATTCAGTAAGGTTTTTTTACACCCACAATGAATCTGATTTAGAGTTTTACCAGGATGTGAAACATATCTTCTAAAGAAAAAAAATCTACAGCTTCTGTTTAATACTATGTGAAATCAGCTGATCTCTTCCATAGTAACAAAAACAGGTTTCCTTGAATGTTTGATAGAGGCATCTGGGCATCAAGCTGAATCGGCCACAGCAGGTGCATGCATTAGAAAAATAATGTCAAGAGCCTTTTCTTGACTAATGTCATGAGTCGGGGTATGTAAAGCAGGCAGATATAAAAACTAAAATTACATACTCATGACAGATTATTTTAAATAATTTTATTTATTTTATTTAAAAATGTATATCACCTATTAGAGAAGTGGTTCATTATATGCATGATTTTTAACAGCTTTTATGATGCTTAAGTCTTCTCTGTTTTAAAAAGGAATTTGGAAAATTAGTCCATCTTGCAGCCTTTATTTAGGAAACAAAAAGTGACTGTTGCTATCGCATGTTCTCACAATCTTTTTACTATATCTTGAGTGTATGCTCTACGTTCACCTTGCCATACTTTAAATTGCATTAAGAGACAAAAACTCCTCCACAGTAACTGTGGTAGTAATAATACAAAATGCAGAAAAATTTTGCTCCATATAAATGATGATATTCATATAAACCTTTCATTCTTATGGCATTTGAGTTTAAATCCATTTTAAATATAATTTTTCAATGTATTTCCACAACTTTTTATTAAATAATGAAACCCACATTTGTGTTTGTTCTCTATAAATGAATGATGTACTCTGTGGAACAATCTGTTTATCTGCAATAAGTACAGAGTATTTATGGACATAAAATATAAAATCATTTTAATGTTTTTCTAAAGGAACACAGTGTTCTATATCTTTCTTTCCATCTTGCCACATTAACTAAACACGAGAAATGGTAACTTATATATCTAATTACAAGCAGATAAATTAGAAATTTGGAAAACCAGAGTATGTATTTAACCAATTTAGATATGTTTCTACTGTTAAAAGTTAATTCAATCAATGAAATGTACATGTAAGGAAACCTAGTATATTCAATCCTCATTCGGTAGTTTCCTCCCGAACCGCCAGAGCATCAGTGAGTATAGCTCTCCGTTCGGTAGATAGAATAGACGAAATCCATACGAATACAAATAGCTTTACAAGATAATTCCCTTAATAAAGCATACAAATCCCCAAACATCAGCCGAAGTCAAGAAGAAGGGTACAACAGAAATGGCTTTTAATGACCACACACAGGCTTTTATGCAAGTCCCCATGCAAGGGGACATCCCACAGGGAGGGACACAGTATAACCAATCAGTTACAGGAAAACAGTAAAACACACCCAGCACAAACATACAATTCCCTCCCGTAGTTCTGGAGATAATCAAGTCTGAAAAAGTAATAACTTGATTATCTCCCGGCAGAAAAATCAAAATTTTTCCCAATATCCAGAACACCCCTTTAGACATGGGGTATCCCCACAAATATGTCCCCTGATAGCCCCGATCTAGGTGACGAACATATTCAAATTTCACCCAGATCGGTTCAGGGGTTCTCAAAAAGTGTGGAAGTCCTTTGTGACCGGCTAACCGTGAGGTGGCTGTCCAAAACAGTTCCAGGTGTTTGGGTGGTTTTGCTGGTCTATTCAGTTAAGTGCCAAAAACCGAATAATTCCACGAATGGATTCCCCTGGCTCTTAGCAGCAATTGTTCCCCTCATTCGAATGCACAAAAGTACCGAATAGCGCTCTTCTAGCTATTCAGGAAATAGAGATCCAGCATTCGCTTGTTGAGACCGGTGTTCGGGAAGTCGAGTGTCTTATTTTAGTTCCAGACACTCGACGACCAAGTCCTGCTGCCTTTGTTTGCCTGAAAAAAGATGGCTGACGTTTTCTCAACACGTGGCGTTCGGTAGTACAAACGCTGGCCGCACAGATAGAGGGTTCAATTGAAGCATTCTTTGAAGTTTAACAAGCCAGGGGGTGGTCTCTGTTCGGTAGTTATATCTACCGAATGATTATGGAAAAAATAGTACATATTACATTCACAGTACACCATTTCTGAACAATATATCCTCACAGGATTGAATTTTGTTAACTAATTGTGTTCCACAGTGTATATATAGATCGCAAAATGCTTGCAGTATCAATTATCTAACATGTAATAAAAGCACATAGAAAATAATGGATAAACAATAAACATTTATATGCATTGTGAGGCAATAAATAGAATAGAAAAGCCTATCCTACATCAAAAGGAAATCTTCAAGTCTCTTGAGGCTTATTATAAACGTAAACCGTCTAATGTGTGAGAGGCTAAAACTCACTTATAGGATGGAACTGGAGAGGTACATCTTAAAAAAAAAAAAAAAAGAATTGTGTGAGAACTCACCTACAAATTAGTATCTTTGAAAGACCCAGCACACTGCATTATAACACAATAAAAAGGTTTTACTGACACATGGATGTCAATTAAAACCTGTAGAGCCTAGTCTTTGATGGCAGTGAGCAATATTGAACTGTCTTTTAATGCCTAAGTATAATGTAAGTTTTTTTTTGTTATTTCCAGGAACACAGGGAGTGTGCATAAAAGACAACCATTCAAAAGACAAATAAAAAAAGTGTATAACATAATAAACCAGTATAGTCTTACTCATTTATGCATTATATATATCCTTCAGATTTATATTACAGAAATGTCTGCCATTGTAGCCATGACTCATAATTCCTGCACTATTTTTAAACAAACATTATCAAGACAAGCTCTCTTGTGACATAAGTGTCATGATTACCTATACTGTGTTGCAACTATATTAAACATAATACTTGTATATCATGCATAGCTTTATGCTTGCTTTGCTAATTAAACATAAAGCTCATCGTTTTAAAATGCCTGTTTCTGTATAATTATGAGTAATTGCATATTACATATGTTTAGTAAGGACTGATTTTTATTTTGCACAACATTTAAATAATGCTGAAAGGGAGAATGTAATTGTGCTGCTGACAGCATATAGTTTCAAAGAACATAATGACCAAGACCACCAGAGACCAGAACTTGAATCTCCTAAACCACCATTAAACCAGGATTCCACTGGACAGATAGCATGGTATAAATAATGAACAAGGGTTTCATGGCCTTCCTACTTACAAGGATGAAGCACACGGAATGAGGAATGAGAATGACATGTCTTTATATCAATTATGTTATTATCAACCAAACAGTAGCTAAGTGTAGTGGAACTTTGAACGGTTATCTCAACCAGGTTAGTTGAAGGTCTAGGTCATTCCCCTTTAATTCTTTACCTTGAATGGGGTGGGGGATGATGAGATAGTCTGAGGATATCTCCATGTTTATCAAAATACTGGAAACCACCTCTCATTTTTATTAATTTATTTTTCATTTTTAACTGTTTGCAAATTGGCAGGTCTTCACTACCAAGCTTCATAAAGTATTGTTCTACATTTCATTCTTAATAGTGTACAATCTAAAATGCTCATTTGGAAGAACCAATCAAGTTTAGTTTCCTGAGCAAGGTCCAAATCAAATGTTTTAAAATAGTTAACTTGCCACTGTTGGCTTTTATAATATATGTACCAGGCAAAACGCATTGTTCAGTGTGAATCAGTTGAAAATATGTGACACTGTGAAACACTCTCTGTAACTGAATAACTAAAACAGATGTTGTTCCTCAAGTCTTTTATTACATCTGGTTTTCAACAAATTGATAGCCAGTTGGTTCAAAGTATAGTGGAATAGGCTTCAATAGTCTTCTGTAAAAAACAAATGCCTTTACTGTACTAGTCAGTGGGGGTGCTAGATGCTGTTGAATGAGCATGTGTACTGTGTGGTCATTGTATTCAAAATAATTGTGCGTGTAAAGCAACAAATCTGCATAAAATTTAGCATTAAGCATGAACATTCCTCCACGGAAATTGTGGCTTCATTGCCCTATGTACACTGTTACTTGTATCTTGTATCTTTTTCAGTAAATGTCTCTATTTTTCATATTGCATGGCTGGATACTTTCAGGACAGACCTCATGTATATATGTATATATACACACTTGAGGACTGTCTGGAAAGTATGTGTATATATACATATATACATGAGGTTCATCATGATCCTGATCAAAGTCCTTTGATGGACTGAAACTTCAATTTGCTGTAACCCGTGAGTTATGAATAAAGACAAATAATTTTCTTCAAAAAGCCCAGCATGTGCCTTTCTTCATGGAGATTTACATTGATTTGGCTGAAAGAGCACTGTGGCACTTATACTACAAATGTGAGTGCAGGATCGTGGAATATATATATATATATATATGTATATATATATATATATATATATGTATATATATATATATATAAAAGTGTGTGTGCACTTTTAACTTCAGCAATAACAGTGTAGTGTTCTTTCAAAATTATTTGAATACTTAAAGGGACACTATAACAATTACAGCTTCTACAGATTAATATATTGGTTTTCATGCACACCTGCTACCTATGTCTATGAATGAAAAAACAACACTTACTGCACTTCCCCCTTAAAACATTTGACAACAGGATTATACTGAATGCTTTTCTATGAAAAGTTCTGGTTTGAAATAATCTGTATGAGAAAGATTGATGGTGCAAATTGCCATGCATGTCTTGGATTGAACAAGAGATTAGAAATGTTGATAATTTCACAATGGGTGGATAGGGCTTCAGTAAAGTGACTATCTGGCTCTGGAGTATAGATAAATGTATTTATTTTTCATTACAGGGACTGCCCTGCAATCTAGTAAAGTAAATAAGGAACAATAAGGAATTAAAAATAACTACATTTATTATATTAGTAAATTAGTGGGGTTTTTTTAATATATATTTTTTATCCATGTTGAACCAATATCTTAATATTACACAAATGTATAAATATATTCAAGTAGGTACAAATGTGAGCTCCTGTTTCCTTCTGGTGGTAATTTTCATGTCTAAACCATATGTTTTTGAATTTTTAGAAAACAACTTTAAATCTTTAGTGAGTCAATTTTAATGGAATGGAAATAAAATGTCACTTCACATGAATTAAAATATGTTTACTTATTCTCTATATTCTATATATAGTTGTGCCTAGACTAAACTGAATTGTGATTCCATGTTTGCTAAATCTTTTATATAAATGTAAAATAAAACATATAAGCACAGGGGGGAAAAGGTTAATGCAAATTATAAGTGGTTTTAATGTATTATTAAATGGAGTAATTTCTAGAGAAGTGGTAGTTCCCCTGTTTTTTTTTTTTTGTTTTTTTTTTGTTTTTTGTAAAGTTACATTTTAGATATCTGTTGTCAGCATTTTTCTCTTTGGATGTAAAATTTTAACATTTCTCTGATACATAATGAATGACTACTTAAAGGGATCACCATTACAACTATACTTTATTGCAGTGTTTGTGATGTAGAGACTCTAAGATTCAGTTCCATTGAATCTTAGAATGAATTGGTAGTGTAGTTAGGGTTATTTGTAATTCAACCCCACCATGTCCTGTTTTTTTGTACAGATATTTTACACTCATAATCTTGATCATTAAACTTTTCATATGGTGGGCAATCTGAGAGTGTGTGGTCTTTGAATGTCAGATAATTATTGAAAATGGTTGAAAAAATAAATAAAAGTAAGGAACTAAAGTCCTTGCACCACAAATACTACACTAAAATATTGTGTTTATAGTGATTGGAGGGGTTATATAATATAACTCTCATGTTAGAAAAAATGTGATACATTATACTGTAATTCTATTTTATAATTGGTCAAAATATTGCAAAACATAATGCATATTTGTACCGCTTTCTTTTCACCCTTCACTAATCACATAACATTGGAGAAAGGGGAGAGTGTTCAAACTGGTAGAGCATGAGTTATGAAGTTATTGAATATAGCATACCTTAGCAAGGCTATCATAATAGTGAAATACAATTATGCGTAGCAACACATATAACACCGACCTGCATAATCTTTCCCACTTTTGCTGTTAATGCTTGTAATCAAAGGGAAGAATAATTTATCACTCCAGTGAGTGCCTACATTAGCTAATTGCTTGAATCTTTGTTAAAGTTTTCACTGCTGCTTATACCCCCAAGAGACATAATAAATGCTTAATGACATTAGTTACTTACAGCCTGTTTGAAGTTCATGAACATTATTTTTAAAACTTTAAAATGATCTTTAAGGTGTGAGTGGAGAAGATAGTTTCTCTGTTTCCAATGATCTATGAACAGTATTATAATTTTAATATATACATGACCCTTTTTTTTATCTTAGATAGGATAATCTACTTATCTCTCTATGGAATAGCTACCCATCTATCCACCTTTAAATACAATAGAGAATCACATATGTTTATTATTAGCAATTTTATTGTTTTTGTCTTATTTTATTGTAGCAAAACCAGAAGAAAAGAAGGCATCAACTGACAAAAAGGATATTCCAGGTACCAAGCAACCACAAAAAAATATGTTGGGGTTTTATAACAATATATATATATGCTTTATAAATGATCACTTTATTTACAGTTGTAGGTGGCATAATTATGCTTGGATTTTCTAAATATTAGTAGATCTTTCTATCACAGTAGACTCTTTCAATTGCAGAACACACTCAGTATCAATTGTAGAACATCAGCAAATTCATTCATAATAATAACTATAATTTGTTTAAAGGGACACTATAGTCACCAGAACAATTACAGCTTATTGTGTTTGTTCTGGTGAGCATAATAATTCCCTTCAGGGTTTTTGCAGTAAACACTGTCCTGTTTTTTCAGAGAAAATGCAGTGTTTACATTACATCTTAAGGATAACTCCACTGGCCACACCTCAGATAGCTACTAGACGTGCTTCCTGGGGTAGTGCTGCACAGTAGGAAAAATATTTTAGTATATGAAACATGTAGGTGGTTTTCTGTTGTAAACTGCTATAAGCTTAGGTTATTATCATAGGATGCTGAAAATGTTTTAGTGCATGGCATTGGAAGGGGGGAGGCACCGTGACTAATGGAGCACTGCCTGGTGCATGTTGTAGTGTACTTTCCACAATTGATTTAGTATTGACTTAAGTACACAACTGAACTAAGATAAGTGCATATAACATTAAAGAACCACTCTAGGCACCCAGACCACTTCAGCTTAATGAAGTGGTCTGGGTGCCAGGTCCCTCTTGGATTAACCCATTTTTTAATAAACATAGCAGTTTCAGAGAAACTGCTATGTTTATAAATGAGTTAATCCAGCCCTCAAAGCCTCTAGTGGCTGTCTCACTGACAGCCGCTAGAGGCGCTTGCGTGATTCTCACTGTGAAAATCACAATGAGAACACACAAGCGTCCATAGGCTCTTGCCCCGCGTGCGCTTTCAGCCGAATGGGAGGATCGGAGGCGGAGAGGAGGAGGAGAGCTCCCTGCCCGGCGCTGGAAAAAAGGTAAGTTTAACCCCTTTCCTCTCCCCAGAGCCGGGCGGGAGGGGGTCCCTGAGGGTGGGGGCACTCTCAGGGCACTATAGTGCCAGGAAAACGAGTATGTTTTCATGTCACTATAGTGGTCCTTTAAATCACAACACCACATAGACCTAGTGTGTCTATTGAGAAATCTGACCCCATCTATTAATCCAATCCCTGGATTTCATGATTTCATGATTTCATTGTTCACCAATAGACTGATGATTCCTTAATTCATACATCTGATTTCTTATTTAATAGACTGATTTTTAAGGTAAAACAGACTACTAATGGCTTGCAAGTAATAAACAAAACACTGTCAGTTATCTGTGGCCGTGTTAAGGAGCACTCCAAGCAATAAAACAATTTATTAATACGATCAAAACTGTGAAATGCATTAAAGTTTTATTTGTACCTGGAATGTTTCTTTGTAATCATATGCAGTTGTAGTGGGATTGCTATAAAGGTGGAGAAGCACAAGACTCTACTCCCAGAATTAAACTCAACCTCCCAGTGCAGTTACCCAGTAGAACAAAATGCGGATCTATGATGTCAGTGACTCGGTTATAGTTGACCAAGCATATCTAAAAAGGTTTTTACCCACTGAACAAGGCATTAAAATAAATACCCAAAAACCTTGACATCATTATATGCTTTGCCTGCAAGCCTAGTCCTCAAATCCAGTTATAGTTCATTGCATCTCATTGAACTGGTCATAATGCCTAGAGTCCTTTGTCACTGTCCCTCTATTTATGAGCAGATTAACACTAAATAATAAGATTTTGTTGTCACCCACTGTCTCACCCATACTGGAGCTATGACTAAGGCAGAGATTACACTCTTCCTTCTAGTCATACAAATTCATACCAGCAAGGGGCACTGTGATAAAATCAAAGCAGTCAGCTGCTCAGGCTAATGCTTCCTCGTTAGCTCGAGTAGCATAGAGGAGATGGGCTGCTGTGGACTCTTGTTTTGTGTTAAACCTTTAAAAATGGTTTAACACTGAAGGAAGTACTGTGCCAGAGGACCCCAGACACTATGACCACCTCAATGAGATTAAGTAGTTTTAGAGTCTATAGTGTACCTTTAAGTATGGAAAAAACAGTGATCTGCTCACTAATCTTTGGTGATAACCAAAAGGCATGTTAGAACATTCTTTTCAGTCTAGCCATAACAGACATTTTAATTTATTAATAAAATGAGACTATACTGTGAAACATTATTATTATTATTATTATTATTATTATTATTATTATTATTATCATTATTATTATTATTATTATTATTATTTGTTTCACAGCTGCCGTGGTAGAGCAAAAGAAGACTTTACCAGAGAAGAAGCTTGTGTCAGAACCAAAGAAAGCAGGTATGGCTAAGTATTCCAAGTGACTAGTTATACTAATCTCTGAATTGTGCATCTTGACTTATGGGAACATGAAAGCTTAAAATGATCACATAGTACATTCTGCCATTTTGAACTAGCTATTCTGACTCATCTTTTATATACCACTTGACAAAAAATATGTAAACATATTCCTGTTAAATAACAGACATCGTCAGGCACCAGACCAATCAAAGGATACCAGTCAGTTCCCCTTCCCTCGCCTTGGCACTCATTAGTGCATCATGGAACTGTTGTCCTGATCACTCTATGTATAAACAGTTGGGAGACATTAGAGGAGCATCCTAAATAACATCCATTAATTCACAATGCAGTGGTGCAACGAGTCTACGGCCACAGTTCCCTGTTTTTTTGTGGAACTGTTATGGACAAATTTGGAAAAACAACTGTGTCTTCACACCAAGTCTTACACTGTAATTATATCAGTGGCATATACTGAGGGTCTTCATAGGAATACATAATCTACCTCAATATGTGTCCAATACGAGCTCTGTATTCATACCACCTCATACACAGAGCTCATATTGGACACATATATTGAGGTAGGTTATATATTCAGACAGAAAGATTATATTGGTAATGTAAGCTGAAGCTATGTCTTTACACCTTCGCATACAGAGTTTATTTTGGATACATATACTGAGACTGATCTGTTCATACCAGCTCATACACAGAGATTACATTGGTCACATACATTGGCACTATGTTTTCACACCAGCTCATGTAGAGAGTATGTACCTATCATATACTGAAACAGTTAAGGAAGATTATCTAGAATAATAAAATACTTTCCACTCTCTGAAACAAGATAGTTATACCTGGTAAAAAGCCAGGATTCAAGTCATTAGCACAATGAACCATGGTATTTGAACACATTGTATACAGGTGTGATCCATAAGTCACCCAGAAAAAAATCTTTTATTATGGGTCTTAAATTCTTGGACTGTAGTATTCATTCAGACTTGACATGGTCAATATAGCCATTAAGAGCAGGTTTCTTACAACACTGCAACACTGGACAAATAAAACTAAATGTGAACAATTACGTAAAAGGAAACCCCAAAATAAGCAACTATGGGTAGCTGATAGTACAGAAATCCTCATACTTACAATAGTCAGGAATCTAAACTACTGATGCACTTACCTGAAATGGGTAAAAAAAAAATTAAATAAACTGAACAACAACTGCAGTCTCCTGCTCTGCCTTCAAAGATGTCAGCATGCTTGCTGATGTATCGCAATCTCCTTCAATCCAGTACTTCTCATAGAATCAAAGCACTCAGCCAATAACAGCTGCTTGTTGCTGCTCATGTCAATGCTTTCTTATTAGTCCAGCATCACAGAGGGAATGGGCTGCTGTGGACGAAGTACGATGCCAGGGGCATCAAGACACTAGCTTCTCCAATGAGATAAAGTAGTTACAGTGCCTAAAGTGTACCTTTAATTAATAAAGAAAAAAAACATGGATCTGCTCACTAATCTTTGAGTTATAGCAAGATGATAACCACCTTAAAAATATTAAAAAAATAGACTAAAAAGAAAGTTAGAAATACATTTCAAGTCTAGCCCTGACAGATATTTTAATTAATCACGAAATTATTAATATTATATTGTTTGTTTTACAGCTGCTGTGGTAGAGCAGAAGAAGGCTTTACCAGAGAAGAAGCTTGTGTCAGAACCAAAGAAAGCAGGTATGCTGTCTAATCAGCATCTTGGTATGGTGAGGTGGATGGATTATTTCAGCAAAGGAGAAGTGCTCACTAACACAGATTTAGACAGATTTGTGAACAATATTTGAGAGAAATAGGCCTTTTGTGTACATAGAAAAAGTCTTAGATCTTTGAGTTCAGCTCATGAAAAATGGGGGTAAAGATTGAGATGGAAGTCTGGGTGCTTATAGTATTCCTGTAATGCTGACATATTTTGACAGAGATGCAGGGATATAACATTTTGGTAAATATACATAGTTGTAAATACAAATGAAAAGCAGTCTGATACTTTATCTGATACTAAAATTATGCTTATTTAAAACATATTCAAGTCAAGCCAAGAAAGTTTAATTATATTTAGAATGGTAAATCACTCGAGAATGAAAGTCTATTTTTATAAATTGTATTTTTAGTAAATCATGGTACATCTGTTTACGCTGCTATATACTCCAGAGTCAGACAGCCAATATCACATATTATACAGCATAATGTAATGTATGTACTGACATTCAGATTTATTGCTTATCCTGAGAGATCTAGCATGTTTACTGTGATAAAAAAAAAATCTGAAAATAATTCATAGGTGACACACAAGAAGGATGATTGGCAGAGCCATATACTGCTGCTTTGCATTGTACCAGCTGTATTTGGAGACATAGCTTGCTGTCTGTGTTTATCGTGACAGTCCATTTTCAATTCCTTTTAGATTATTACTTTAATTAGTCTAAAGATCTGTGATATCTACGCTGTATTGATTGGCAGCACCTGTTAGACTGAAGAGCTTTTTCAATGCTCTTTAATTGCCTCATCTTTTGATGTGAATGGGATTATTAAAGACTGGCAAGCTAATAATAATTGAAATGACTTTTAGGAGGATTCATACTGACTTTTAAGAAGGCAGGGGAGAAAAATATTATCAAAGCTATTTAGGTTATCATTTCAACAAATCTGAGTGTATACAGACAATTCTACGAAAAAAACAAAACAAAAAAAAAATAGTGATACTGCATTTGTCATTACCTATTATGTCATGCATATATATTTTATCCTATAATGAATTTATTTATGTTGGCTTTTCAATTTTTTTATATGAAATGTGCTTTTAAATCCCCCTCACCAAATGGAGATAGTCAGTTTAGAGATTTTTTTTAAAAGGTAATTTAATCATATATGTATACATTTAAATGCTGATTCTAGAATTATTTTTCATATTTTTTGTTACGTTGTATTATTGTTCTGATACGTAGTATGACTTTATTTCTGTTTTTAAAACAATATGGTGGAAATCTGCACTGAAAACTTGATTTTCCTTAAATTTTCAAGAGAAAATAGCAGCTTTCCTTCATCTTGAAATAGTTGCTTATATGTCTTTAGGAAATCTTCAAACATTTCAGTAATGTGTATTCCTCAGATTTTTTCCAAGAGTTCCTACTTTCTTAATCCCCCAATGCAACACCCATGTGTCTGAATTAGAGGAGCTCCTGCATCTTCAACTGTTTATTGTTTATTTGTTGTCTATAACCTAAAGAACTTACCTGGTAATTTTTATGGATCTATTTATTTATAGTTACAGTTTTTTAGGATATCAGACCACTTGTCACAGTTATAGCTAGTTCATTGCTTTGTATTGTTACTTGGCTACAACAATTCGGTTTACAATGCAATGTATTGGGATGAAAATTCTACTTTTTTAAAGGGACACTCCAGTGCCAGGAAAACAAACCGTTTTCTTGGCACTGCAGGTACCCTCTCCTTCCCACCACCCATCCCATGTTGCCGAAGGTGTGAAAATCCCTTCAGTGACTTACCTGAGACCCCCGCCGATGTCCCTCGGCGGTGGTTTTCGGGTCCGCCAGCGCTCCGGCGGGGGACACCGATCGTGCAAGCGTGGCCGCCGGTGGGAGATACCTAATGCGCATGCGCGGCAATGCCGTGCGCACATTAGACCTCTCCATAGGAAAGCATTGAAAATGCTTTCAATGCTTTCCTATGGGGAATTGAGCGACGCTGGAGGGCCTCACACAGCGTGAGGACGTCCAGCAATGCTCTAGCACAGAAAACATGTGCTAGAAATCAGGAAGTGCCCTCTCGTGGCTGTCTAGTAGACAGCCACTAGAGGAGGAATTAACCCTGCAATGGAGTTGGCACCCAGACCACTCCAATGGGCAGAAGTAGTCTGGGTGCCTGGAGTGTCCCTTTAACTGTCAAAGGACCAAGGGTTAGACAAATAAATATATGTGATGACGGATATAGCTTGTCAACCATCATGAAATTGTTCAAATGCTTTTAAATAAAGTCTTGTCGCAATTTGTTTATAGCTCTCTTAGTGTCTGTTTTTAACTTTTCAAACGAATAGTTTATTATCTGAAGCACTAATGCAGCACCTTATCCATGCTGCCATAAGATATTAAAATTCACTCCTTAATAATTAAGCATGAACAATTCACAGTATGTCCTCAGCTATATATTTCTTGTGACATATGCAAATGAAGCCAAGTGAATCTGCAAAATGCAAATTCTCATATCCATAACAGATCCATAGTAAATTCGATTCATTTAAATTGTTCAGAAGAGAGAGTGCATTCAATGGAATTTCTGCTGACTTAGAAGGTATCCCCTTTGGCTTAAAGAAAAAACTGAAAAGGTAAATACAAATTAGACATAAAATTATGCAAAGTATAAAATACATAATGCAAACTTCAAACACTGAATTACACAGTTAAATCAGATCTGGCTAACAGCTGTCTCCCAATAATTCCATATCAGCTTTTATGTGTATCATTAGAAATGCAGTCTGCAATGCCACGACTGGCGTAACAAAGGACAAGTGAGAGTGATACTTGATCAGGAGCCATCTTTATCAAAGCAACTGGGATGTACATATCTGTCCTACCCGATATTAATAGTAGTTGCATTCCCAAGCAGCACATGACTCCATTTTTGTAATGGCAACTGAACTAGCTGCTGCTGGGAACTGTAACTTCAACTAATGTCAGACAGGGCTATCTTTAATGTAGAGCAAACTAATGGGCCTATTGGTGCAGTCGGGGGCCCACGAGCTAAGAAGGCCATCGAGGACATCACTTAAGACCACACTTAAGACCTCCCAGTGCTGCACCCCTTTCTTTATGGCAGCACTGGGAGGAAGTGAAAGCCGCAAGTCAACTACTCCAAGAGAAAAGACAGAGCTGTGTGGGAGGGAGGAAGATGAAGCAGTGAGGAGGGGGGCTGGTTAGGCACCACACTGAACCCAAGGGCAAGCCACCCTCTAGCAAAAGGTAGGAAACTGGAGGGTGGGTTTACAAATGTAAATTTTACATGTGTGTCAATATGTCAGTGTGCGTTTGTCAGTATGTCTGTCAATGTGGGTGTCAGTATGTCTGTCAGTGTGTGTTTGTCTGTTAGTGTATATGCCTTTCAATGTATCTGTCAGTATGTCTGTCAGTGTATGTGTCTGTGTGTCTGATTGTATATGTGTATATGTATCTGTATATGTGTATGTATTATATGTTGTCATTGTATGTGTCTGTGTATCTTAATGTTGTCAGTGTGTGTATCTTTATTTAGTCTGTTCATCTGTTAATCTGCATGTGTGTCAGTGTTTGTATATGTGCCTGCATGTGTATAGGTGTGTATATCTGTGTATCTGCATGTGTTTCAGTGTGTGTGTATCTGTGTGTGTGTTTGTATCACAGTGTATGTGTATATGTGTATTAATCTCAGCATTCTGTCGCCAACACTAAACACAAATACACCCCTGCATAAAAACGTCAACACTAGATACAAACACACCTAATTCACGCGCTGTTTTCGGCAGCTTCACTTGTTCCCTCACCACGAGTGGAGGCTTCCAATGCCCGTGTTTCGCTAGTGACATCTCCTCACTTCTGCTTACCCACTTCCAGTGCCCGTGCGCTGCTCCTGGCTCTGTCAGTTCCCCCCAGTAACCTTCTGGATGCTGCACGCTTGTGTGCAGCATGTTTAAATAGGCACCTGAGTCAGTCACCTGACTCAGCGCACAATAGTGACATCACAGGTCAAAATTGGAGGTACAAGTACCTTCCACATGAGATAATTAACCCTGATTGGAAGTTAACCAATAAGAATGGCCTTAAGCATATATAAACTTACCTTTCCCATGTCCTCTTGCCCTGTTTTGGTTTTTGATAGCCCAATAGCGCGTTTACTGTCTGATTATCTGGTTACTGAACTTTGGCTTGTCTCACCTTTACTCTGTCTTCTTTGATCCTTGACTTCGGCTTGTCCTTTCATATTTCGTCTCTGTTGTCCTAGACCTCGGCTTGTACTCTGACTACTCGCTCTCTCTTTTGCACAGCCCAGCCGCTCTAAGCACTGGTATTGCAATCCTGTGTGTCTGTGTGCGTGTTTAGCTTCCCCCGATAACCATGACACCAACAGCCCCTGCCCAACCCTTTCCTTACTCTTCCTCAATCTTGTTTTGGGATTAGGAAGCACCATTGCTAATGTTGGGCTTGTTCTTATTACAAAACTTAGGGGTATACATGATAGTTTACACAATAAACAAACACAACTTTACTTAGCAAAAAATTTTTTTTTTGCTAAATAGGTTATTGTTTGATGAATTTACCACTGTGATGTTAATTTGTTTGACTTTAAGAACACTTGCACAGTACACATTGGACTGAACACATTCCAAAAATTTTCATTTTCAAAACCCCCCCAAAAAAGTAAGAATGGTGTTAAATGGCAGTGGCTAGTAGTGTGTCCACACACAGAAAAACCAAGTAAAATATGGCACTAAAAGATAAAAAATAGACAAAAATAAAATAAAAGCAGCACCTTACCTACTGCAATAACTCGAAGGACACTATACCAAACGATATATACAAAAAAGGTGTGCTGTGTCTTTAACACAAAATATGGTTAGTATGTGGACCAGAGTGTTCTAAGTGTAGTGCAAAAGATAATAAAATTATCACAATAAAATTATTTTCATTTAAGTGCAATTGCAATTCAAAGTGCAAAATACAAAGTAAGTGGTATAAATCAAACACATGTAATTCTAGTGTCAAATGTATCACACTTCACTTACATAGTTTTCACACCATCCACATGATATATACATAAAAAACACATATAGTGTAATATTGTTATAAAATTATAATATTAAAATTGGTGACCTTCACTCACAAGTGGAGAGCAAATAAGTCTGCTCAGGCTATAGATGCTCCTCTTCACCACTATACAGCATCCAACTTGTAGTGTGACCATGTCCTAACCGTAAACAACCATGTCACACTTGGATGAATGATGCAGGCTATCTTTATCACTCAATGTTTGTCTAAAAACCTGGATTTTAAGAATTTGGATCTGGATTTAAGTCAGATCAAATGCTGCAAGATGGCTGAATTCTGGACCCACATGCTTCAAACCCTAGGCCTGAATGCTTTAAATTCTGGCCAACATTTTAAACATTTGGAGTCTATTGAAAAATCTGGACTTTATATATGTTATATGTTATAAAGTGTGAACAATCTCTGGATTTTGCTGTCCAATTTGCCCCATATAGTTTTGACATGTTTAGTATGGGGCTATTTTGATTTTAGTGAATGACCCTGTATGTGTATATGCATCTATATGTTTATCTGAACAGTTCTAGCCCCTCTTATATCTCCTCACAGATTCATAGGTATGTCCCTTCTTGGTCTCTTCGCTCTGCCCGTGACCTTCTCCTGTCCGTTGTTCGCACCCGTACGGCCAACTCACGCTTGCAGGACTTCTCGCAGGCAGCTCCCTTCCTATGGAATAGCCTGCCTACCACCATCGGACTCTCCCCTAGTCTTGCATCTTTTAAGAAGTGCCTTAAAACCCATCTCTTTAGGAAAGCTTATGGTCTCCCAGAGTGATCTCTACCTTGCACACCTGTCTCTTGCTCTCTCCTAAAGGGCAGCACTCTACTCTCTCCTCCAGCTCTGCCTCACTCCCACCTTATTTGATTGCAAATTCCTGTCCTATTGTGTTTTACGCCCCACCTCCTACAGAATGTAAGCTCGTTTGAGCAGGGCCCTCTTCAACCCATTGTTCTTGTAAGTTTTCTTGTAATTGTCCTATTTATTGTAAAATCCACCCTCTCATAATATTGTAAAGCGCTACGGGATTTGTTGGCGCTATATAAATGGCAATAATAATAATAATAATATCTGCGTATGTGTCTAATGCTATGCATATTTTATGTGTGTCTATGAGTATGCATATGTGTCTGTGTGCTAATGTATGTTTGGGATACAGCCATTTGTTTTAAATCCTAAAATTTCTCATTGCTTTAACTGGATGAGCACTGTGAGACTTTCAGGCACTCAGGGAATTAACACTTATTGCTATAATGAATAGTAAGAAACTGCAGACTTTTGAGAACAACATTTCCCATAATAGAAATTATGGTATGTATAAAGGGAACAACCAAGGTGAGGGTGTAACGGGTTTCATTTTAACACCACTCGTGAGGGCATTACCAAAATATTTCAGCACACAGGAGTCTTTTCTTGACCCAGATCTTGTCTGTACCATTCCTGCATACGTGCACATATTTCAACCTACCTTTATATAATTTTGTAGATGACTTGCATCATCTTATGCCTATTTTATAACATCATTTAAAAACTGAAGAGGAGAGGATAAGGGAGGTTGAAGGTAATATACATTACCTGTCATTTTTACAATTTCTCTAATTACTCTATTATGGCTTTGTATTCCACATGTAACACAGAGTATGTATTCCCAAAATATCATCAGATGTCATACTAATACCCAAAGGCATTTTTAACATTTATAATTAACCCCTTAAGGACACATAACGGAAATAATCCGTCATGATTCCCTTTTATTTCTGAAGTTGTGTCCTTAAGGGGTTAAATAATACTGCCACATCTACTATAAGTTTTACATTTTTATTTCTTGTGTGTTGAGCTTGTTACAATGATTAAGATACTGTGAGCGTAAAGGTGGAATAGTGGTTGATGGGAGATACATCAGACCTGATTTGCTAAACAGCAACCAGAGGATTTTTCAGTTAAATGCCCCAGGGAGAGATGTTAAAGTTTGCAATATGCATAGCTGATGCTCTGCAAAACATGGTATGGGTCCCTGGGGCGGAGTATTTGGAGAGCAGGGTGGGCCAATGCTCCAACAGCACTAGTTGCTGTATAACAGACCACAGCTTGGATCTGATTTTAAGAGTTAACTAATTGGCACTCACCTGTAGCTACTCAATTAGTAGACAGGCCTTTAAAAGAAGAGAGCAGCCTGCTGCAGAGTGAGTGAGAAAAAGACAGCTAGGAGAGATTGTGTTTATTGCAAAGACATTGCTTTTGTTTGGAAAATTGGTAAGTGGGAAAGCCACCCAATTGCAGATAGCAATTACTGTCTAGTAAGAGCTCAAGTAAGAGCAAGGGATTTTGTTTGTTTTTGTTATTATTTAAAGTACCTGCTTTCTTACTGAATAAAAAGGAAAACTGAGCTGAAGGTGTCCTGGACTTTGTATACCCTAGAAGGCTGTGGTTACTGCAAGATCGGTGACAATCCTACCTGTAAAAGAGGTGGTTTATTACAATACAAAGACAGCCATGTAAACTGTAACAGCTGTAATGCATTGTAAATGCTAGTATTTATGCAATGAATGAATGGAAAATAGATTTGTGTAAATTTACCAAAAGGACACACCAATCAGGACAGTTAAAAACCATCCAACTACACTAGATTGAACAAACCTTTGTATTTACTACTTTTATTTATCTTGTCTGTCTTTCTGATTTCTTTTATGTTCAAGAACTGTGTATATTTGTCTCATCTACAATCTCAAATCACTCACATATGTGCAAGACACCAAAATGTCTAATTCTCAAACATGCAAGATATTAGATCACTACATTAATAAATACACAAAAGGTACATGACTGCATTAATATTTACACGAGATGTGCTCATTTTTACATTCCTTACAATGAAAAATTGCACAAATTCACACATCCCACTTTTATTGTTGCAGTCTTATCTTGGTTTACCTGCTGTTTCTTTCAGAGACTACTAAATGATCTTATACACCTGCTTCGATAGTGATAACATTCCAATGGAATATTTTTATCAGAATTTCTATTTATGTTACTTTCTGAAGCTTGATGCTGTCAGTCATTCCAAGTAAAGGTTTTGTGTGGACTGGAAACCAGCTTAGTGGGAACTGGATAACATTCATAAGCAACAATTTGCTATGCTCTCTGTTCTAATTGCTTAGCTTGATTCAAAATCATATATTTACAGATATAAGGTGGATCAAATGAGCATGGGCAAAGCCAGAATAACTTCTGCATAATGGGTGTACATAGCGTCCGTATATACTCAAGTGATTTGTGTTCGTTTACTGTTAATAAACATATAAACTTGAATTTTTGTGTTTCCACAGAAGATATGTATGGCATATCAATAAGAAATAAAAAGGTGTTTTCTAGTGAAGGAAAGACATCTTCACATGCATACAGAGTGATTCACATTCATCATAAACAGATCCATGTATCTCTTGCTTTTTTCCATATATTCACCTTTCTTAATTGTATATATTCTACCTTCTTATTCTATTCCTTTCCTTGTCCTCTTTTGGTTCCCATTTCCTATCCTCTTGCATCTTTTATTTTCAAAGACTTATTTTGACAACATTGTAATATATTCCCTTCCACTTTGCATTCCAAATTTCCTTTTTATTCACTTACCCCTTCCTAGCTCATTATCCTCTATATCTCCTCATTGCATCTTGCACGTTTCAACAATAGTACAGAATGCCAGTATCAAACAGGTGCATGCAACACTCAGGTCTGAAAATGGCAACTCACATGGAGTGGAGCTTAAACCATTTCCGGATTAATGAGCATTAATGCTCTCCGTTTGTATAGGTATAAAAGTAAATGTTCAATTATTACTTTTATAACTATACAAACAGAGAGCACTATTGTGATTTTTTTATATGGTAAAATACCCAAGTGATCTAAACCATTGTATACTGATTAATCTGCTGCAGGTTTAAGCTCCACTCCACGTGAGTTGCCATTTGCAGACTTGAGTTTGATACTGGCATTCTACACTTTTGTTTTATTTTCTGTTCTTCTGTTTTCTTCCATATGTTACCAACCTTTTACATTTTTTTGTGAAGGGACCCTATTTCTGATATTATCTGGTTCCAATATATTTTGTCCTTGGCCAATCCTGTTTTTACTTGTACTTAGGGGTCTTAGAGGGAATCCCCTATTTTCAGGTGTGCTGCATCTTATGTTTGTTTAGTTGTTCGAGGCTGTTCCACTCCCTTTTTGTTTTTGCTTAAATATTAGTTATCACTACATGCTGGCAAGAAGGCTGCAGATTACATTTTCAGATATATACATTATTAGTAAAAGGACCATTTTTTGGACCACTTTTAACAGAGCTGCTAGATATTGTTTAATTCATTTCCAAATAACACAAATGCTTATTTTATGGTGATATGATACATTATAATTCAGGCCTGCACAACCAGCGGCTCCCCAGATGTTTTGAACTACAACTCCCATCAACCCCTGGCTTTCAGCCATGATTCCCTAGCTATCTGTTTCATAAAAAAAAAAAAAACACCCCATAAGCAATGGCTATCTGTTTTATTAAATTATTAAATTAATCATGTGCGTTGTCTATCTGTTTTATTCAAAGAATCATACAAAGGTTCTTATACATATTTATACATGTAGTGTTGTAGTTCAAAAACATCCGAGGGGCCGCAGGTTGTGCAGGCCTGTTATAATACCACATAAATAAAAAATATAGTCATCAAAATGCTGTACAGCTTTGTAGCACAGGACATGGACATGTTTAATATACATCTGATTTTTACCTGAAAAACCACTGAATGCAGGCACGCATCTTATAGCATACTCAAGATCCCAACATGTATAAAAGACAAAAAGGTATAAACTTATTTAGAAAACAGATATATTGCATGCCTGCAGCAATAAACTGCATCACCGATCCTGTGTGTTTCATTGCATACCCTGAGAAAATACAGCAAACAATTTAACATACAGGCAAAAAATAAATAAATATTAAAACAGATATACTGAAATGTAATATAGAGGACTAATCTCTTTGTTATTTAACTAGATCTGTTGTGTTTTGTGATAGGTACAAAATAGCTAGAGACTCTAATATTAACTTAGCGTACAAACGAATGCCCTACACATTGATAAAGGGACAGTGGTTCTGAAACATCTGTATTTTTGATCTTTTGTAAGTACATTTGGGCTGCGCTTTGTGGATGACTATTGTGGATTGCTAATTTAAAAGCTTACTACCCGCTGTAGTGTTTATAATGTGAGAAAAACCATGGCCCGGCTCTATAGTGAAGGTGCAAACCATTTTGCAATGGTTAACCATCATACCTGGTTAACTGCTAAATGCAAAGTATGCAAAGTATACTCTAATGGCTGGTGATTTGAATCTAGCTTCTGCAGAGCTTGGAAAGCCAGATGCTTCTTTGTCTGAGACAGATGCTTCTTTGTCTGAGAGCATCAACTGGGCACTCTCAGCCAATGAATTACTTCTGTGCAAAGAAATACGCACATAAATGACATTAGCCAGCCTGGCTGATGGCATCACAATGACTGCTGGAGGTGAAGTTACATATCCGACAGCAAACGCGCTAAACTCTGTATGTGTAGTGTTTCATGATGAGAGCAAACCTTTAAAATGATAAAACCAGAAAAAAATTCACAGATTTGGAACAGAAATTGTAAATTATTATTATTATTTTTTTAAATGTAATATTCTTTATGTGAAAAATCTATTGGTTTTAGAAAAATACTTATTTTAGAGAAAGAAATACTTTTTAAAATTTGTATCTCTCTTTAAAATTCTGAGTAGGGTACCCTATAATTATAAATATTCTTATTCTGAGTAAAGTACCCTATAATTATATCACATTTCATAAAATTGGATCACTGTGAATTTTAAGTTTGTGTGTAGAGTGGAACGTATGGCTGACTTACACTTACATCAGAGAACCAGATGTAGTAATTTTTGCCACATAAATAAACATAGTAGAACATCTGTTTCAATCAAGCATGTTCTTTCCCTTATTGCTGTCCATACACTGTATTTTCAGTGCAGATGTACTTATAATTTATATTACTTATTAATAGGATCTGTTACTATAGCCTTAACATTTAGTATTAGCGTTTTCCTCTCTAAACAGTTTTGGATTTGGCCAAGCACTGAAAAAATAAGAAAGTCAACATGTCATGCAATTTGCATTGAATATCGTTTGTAATTTGCATGGTATAAACCAAAGGAAAAAAAGTTACCTGTGCACTTCCCAAATCCCTGTGCATATTAAAATAAATGGAGGTCATTTAGTAACTCCAATGGCCATTAGAGGCAAGCACACCTGCCACAAGCCGACCTGCCAATGGAGGTTGCCTGATGCTCAAGGAAGCAAGGTAAATAGTTGGTGTAGGACCCACTTAAGAGGTTTGCCTTGACATGGCAGGTGGGCATACCCTCTCATGGCCATTGGAGTTACTAAATAACTTAGTAACTATGCATATTTAAATAATATTTAAATATGCATAGGGATTTGGGAAATGTGCAGGTACATTCTTTTCTTTGTTTTTTACTGATGGTATTGAGGCTTATGTGTAGTGATGTCCCGGACTGTTCGCCGAACGGTTCGCGAATGGTTCACCACAGACGCCAGTCAGCAGACACATTCCAGCCAATCAGCAGCAGACCCTCCCTCCCACCTCCTGGACAGCTCACTAAGAATGCAGCTTCAAAATGGATGCTGTCCAGGAGGTGGGAGGGTCTGGGAAGGAGTGTCTGCTGCTGATTGGCTGGAATGTGTCTGCTGACTGGAGTCCGTGGCGAACGGTTCGCGAACCATTCACGAACCGTTCGCCGAACAGTTCGGGACATCACTACTTATGTGTACTATGGTCGTTGCAGACACCCAAGAGTCTAGTATTCACTTTTGTATCAACAGCTATGTTACAATGCTGCCGCCCAACCCATGTGTTCCCTATTAAGGGTTAATATGTATGTAAGGGTTTAGAAAAATACCACTCTTTATACTCTGTATACACTCTCACACACACACAAACAATATAAACAATTACATTACACACACCCTGCACCTATAATGGGTACAGGGTGATTAAAACATAAGAAAAGTCCAGCATCCTACATAAATAGTCTTTCTGAAGGTCCAGGTGTTGGCAACTACAGTCACACCTGCATTTTGCCCAAAATTGATATGAATCCCAGTTTGTTTGAAACTGAATGCACAAATTTAGTGTCAAGCACATGTAAGTCCATTCTAATCTTATACACTGAATGCACTAACAAGGCACAAAGTGTGAGGGATAGGTGTTGCAGCAGAGTTCACACCTTCTAAAAGGTAACATCATTAGTTGTGAAGTCTGCAGCTAAGAGCATAGGTGCTAACAGTCCCAATCTTGGCAAGATAGTCCTGCATTTTGAGGTACTGCCCCAGCAAAAATTGATCCCGGGGACTTGTCCCGCATTTTGAAATTTGTCAGCAGATTTCAAATGCAGGAAGAGACTGGGAAGAAGCACCATGCATAGAATGGGTCAGCAGCACTTTCTACATTGTCTTGAAGGGGCAGCATTAAAGGGGCAGGCTGTTAGTCATCCTAGCCATTCTTTTTCGGGGTGGACTTTGTAACAGTGGGCAAGCTCACAGCTTGCACAGTGCCCTGTTCAGCTTGCTCTCTTCCCTGTGTACCTCTTTCCAAGACAGTGGGCAGGAAACATTGGCAGATATGTAGAGACGGGACTGAGGGTTGAGATTCTGGTAGCAAGCAAAAATATTAAAGGAATGATCCAAAGGCAAGGCCAAATAAATAGTCTTAGAGTCGGATGCAAAGATTGGGAAATGAGGTACACCATCCAAAGTTCAGCAACAACATCAGGCAAAAAGAAGGCAAATTCCTTCTAAAATGTACAAGAAAGTTGAGCACATGCAATTCAATGAGTATATATATAACAGGATTGGCCAAGGACATATATATGTCAGAAATGCTTTA